AGGAATCCCCTGGTCAGTGAGATCAGCGGCAGGGGACTCCCCTTCCCGGTTGCTTACTGTCTGCTGGGGGACAAATGCCCCCCCTGACTCAGGAGGCACCAGTTGCCCATGATTGAAACCCACCTTTTAATTTTTTCTATCACATTACAGAGACGGGCCTGATCCTTTTTGGTGGGAGGGAGCTGGAGTCTACCTGTGGCTGACGGGCAAGCTATAAGTGGGCCAAGCAGCAACTGAGCACCCTGGTCCTTCCCTCTGCAGCAGCTCATTCCCTGGGGCCACCTGTGTTGGCTGCTAGTGGGCCAAGTGCTGCCCTAGCTCAGAGGCAGCCCCCAGCCTAATCAAGCTGTTCCCTGAGCCTGCCCAGGGAGCAGCATCTGGCAGGCTTCCAGTGGGCAGGCTCAGGGAACAGTTGGATTGATTCAGGTGCTGTCTCCAAGCTGGGGCAGCACTTGGCCTTCTAGCAGCCTGCTCAGGCAGCCCTGGGGAATGCTACCACTGCAGAGGGAAGAAGTGGGGCTGCCCACAGCTCAGGGGCTGCTCAGCCCACTGGCAGCTCACCCCCCGGCTGCGGGCAAGGCAGGCAGGCTCCACCAAAAAGGATTGGGCCCCTCACCGCTTCTGCCTTCAGTGCAAGTGTGTGCAGAGAGAGAGAAATGAAGTGATGAACTAGAGAACTGTCTGCACTGTGCAAATATGACAAGGCTCCCTATAAGGGACTGGCAATATTCACCGAGGTGGACTCCCTGGGCATTTTATACACGTGATTTGGGACAACTCCAAGAGCTACTCTAATTAAAATGTCCTGAGCATCATGTGCATCAGCACCCCTGTGCCGAAAAATGGCAGCAGGGGTGTTTTAACTAAAGCTCATCAAATGATCTCTAGTTATAGTGCCCCGCCACCATTTTTCAGCACAGGGACACCGATACACATGATGTTGGAGTCTGCTGGTAACTAGTGTGCTCCAGCGGACTTGATTAATCTGGAGCATGGTAATTACCAGATGTCAGAGCAGCCTCGATACTTGTGTATAGGCACTCCCTGTTCCCCAACTCAAAGAGAATTAAGGATCATTTCACAGTCAGACAATGTAGGTGAAAGATCAGATGGTGGTTTATAGCTGCTCCACAACCTTGTGAGCAGCCTCCAGCAGCAGCTTTGAGAAGCAGTGCATCTTTAAAGAGGTTATAGTATGTATTTCTCTCAGAGCCAGCCATGCATGTGGGATGCCACAGGCCTACCTTCTCATCTCCTTTCAGAGTCTTGTCAAGCTAGTTTAAACTGCTCTGTGGAATTCACGAGCTAACTTAGTCTTGGGACCACTACTGTCTTTGGCTCCTGTGCTGTGGATGCCAAAAACTCTCTCTCAGCCTTGAATATCAGCAGATGATTTGTTCCTGCAGCTGTCATTACATAAATCAGTTTATTCAGTAATCATGTAAATACCAAACAAATACTGGGTAATAGAGTCTGAAATCAGTCAGTCACTCATGATCCTATAGAATGTGTTGTTTTTAGATTGTATAAGGAACAGATTTACACAATTGGAGTAATACATTTCCTGTTGCCTCTTTGAAGAGCTTTGTAAGTGACTATACCCCTGGACTAAAGAATATCTTCTAGAAGACAATCTTGACTGGCAATATCAAGAGAAAGCAGAGAATACACCACTCCCATATATGCTATAAATCCTTGATAGGAGATAAGGCCAAGAATATCTTTACAAGGAAAAAAAAAGAGTTGGGGGTTTTTTTTGGCTGAATTCTCTAAGTCCTTACGCTAAACAATGTATTACTGTGCTTATACACACACACACCTTAAATGACCTTTTTCTTGGACAAATAATAGTGTAGGAATGAGGGGAAAGGGATATGGGGTGTACATACACTTATTCACTTGGGGTGGGGGCGGGAAAATGGTGGACACTGATATGGGGAAGAAGGGAGGATTAGGAATACACAGACTGTGAGAGAGAGCATCAGAAAGGCAAAGTTGGGGGGCTCTGTTATGATTGATAGAGCATATCATGGGGGTATGCCATAAGCATAGCTTACCATAGCTATTTAGTATGTGACCTTCTAATTCTTATTTGCATAATTCAAATACATTTATTCATGTTAATATTCTTCAGGCTGATGTTAATGGGACAAAAAGTCCCCTCTCAGATGACTCAAACCCATGCCGAAATTTTTCAGTACAGAAGTAAACCCTACTGGTAAATATTGATGGGTGAATCTTAAGGGGGTTCAGTGGTTCTTTTTGGTTAATGCGTATTTAAAGATTACCAGAAGCACCTGCAATTCTTGGGTATATAAAACTGGACTAGCATTGTTGTGTTTTACAGTGCTTTCCAAAAACAGTAACAATAAAGTTGGTTAGAATTTTTCTTTTTTAAATGAAAATGTTTTTGTAAGAAAAACTATTTTGATGAAATGGAAATTTTCTATTTTGATGGGTGAAGTGAAAAAGTGTATTTTACACTTAGACAAATGTCATAAATTCTTAATTTTAACTTAGAATTTTGGTTGTTTACTTGATATTTATTTTTTCATTTTTATTATGCCAATTTGACTTTGACACAAACAGGCAACTTGATCTAGGAAAGAAATCAGATGTCTCAAGCACCACTAATTAATAGCTGCCCTAGGTAATTACAAAACTAAGGGGATATTAATACTAATACATCATACTGTAATACATCAGTTGTAGGAGCAGTGCATAGTTTATGGATAAAATGAAAAACCATTACTAACATAAAATAAAATAAAATAATAAAAATATGAAAATTAAAAACTAGAAAATGAAGCAAAATTTTAAACACAAATGAAATAATTTCCATGGATTCCAGTTTGGGGAAATTCCAAAAATGTTTTCGTATCAAGTCAAATGAAAACAAATTTTAAAATATTGAAATGTCCATGAAATGGAGTTCTAAAATATAACAGCTCTATACTGAGTGTGACTGAAATCATTTTACTGTCACAGATCTCTCTTTGGAATAGCTTTTTTATCCAGAAACTGTATAACTTCATGCTTGTCTACACGGGGAAAAAAACAGTCCTCTTTTTCCATCTTACACATGCAAATAACTAAAATATGTGATTAATGAATGTGTGATTAAAAGGAAGCTGCTATATTGATTAAGATGATATTCAACTGCCCATATTAGCAAGTTAAGCACATAAAGCTCTAAGCACACTTCAGTAAATTATAGAAGAGAGACTTTGTGAAGATTTCTGCTATTTTTATCAAGTAGAAGATTTTGTTCAGAAAAAGTTAAGAGTTGTTCTAGCAAAGATTCTTTTCATGAGACTATGTTCTTTTTAATTATCTTACCTGTTGTATTGTTTCATACTTTTATTAATGAGTCTACTGTATTGTTGTCTGTATTGTTTTAAATACATTCAAATTGTGTGGAATGTTTACAGGAATTATGCTACCAGTTTCTGTGGGTTTTTTTCATTTTGTCTTGTTCTGCTTATTAGCAAAGTCTGGTTATTGCATAGTTTCCTTTGGAAAAAAGGCTATGTAAATAACTTGAATTTACTGTTGTTTTGTTGCAAGGGCCATGCAATGATTTATCAAAAGGCAGTGCATGGCAGCTGGTTGCAAAACTTCCAGCATACTACTCGTGGTCAGAATTTCCAGATTCCTTGAAATCTAAGCATTTCAACAAACTTTCAGTAGAATCCTGACTGATTGCTTTCCAGCTTACCTGCTAGGCTCCACTAGGAGGTTGTGAGCTAACATTTTCAAGATTTCCAGTGTCCTGGCTCCTTTAGCCCACCAGGAAGAATATCAGGAAAATCCAAGGTCTGCCTACCATATCTCCAGGCTGGTTGCAAAGGAATGTGGGGATCTTGGAAGCTCAGGCAGCTAAATGCTGACACTGTAGTAGCAAAATTGAACAGACCCTCTTAACTGAGTCAACAAGAAACTGGTTAGTTTCAATGCTGCTACTCAGTGGGCATGTCTACATGAGATGTTTTATTGTGCAGCAGACTAATTTGCTGTGCAGTAAAGAATCACAATCTACACATGTGCAGCAATTAGGGCACAGTAGAGTATTTTACTGCACTGCTGGATAGTCCTGTCAGATATAAGTGATATCCAGCAGTACAGTAAATTACTGCACTTAAACACATGTATAGATGGTGATATTTGGATTAGTTTTCTCCGGCCCAAATTTAGCTGGGGTATATTCAATTGCACTAATTGCACATGTAGACATGCACAATGGTGAAGAGGGTGACACATACAATTCAGTTTGTAGCTGCCACTGCTTTAGGATTCCTAGGTGTGCTGCAGTTCAGAGTGGGCACTCAGATCCTGGAGAGCATAGTTCATATTGGAAACATGATATCTTGGTGTTTCCATATTAAATACTGGAGGATTTTAGTTTCGTTAACATTTTCATATTCAGGACAAAAAATTTAGGATAAAACCTATTTATGACAATTTGGAAATTTACATGAAGCTAAGATTCTGGTTCCCAGACAGAACTAATATTTCAATGTTTAAATGTAAATAAGCTCTGGCAGTGACCATGTCCAATCTTTTTGTAAGAATAGGTATGTTACATGAAGTATAATTATATGTTCATACTAAGCTTTACATATATAGTCTTTACTACATTTTTGTACAGAAAAGTTAAGTATAGAGCTAAACTGAATTTAAGATATTTATTATAAATCTTGTCAAGCTATTCTAGGTATTTCTTTATTACCTTTAATTTTTATATAATAAAAATCAAGCCATAAGAAAAAAAAACTACATAAAATGTCAAGTTGTACAAAGAAAGTTTATATCTACTTCCTAGCAAAGGAGTGATGATTTGGCTTTATTTGTTCCAAGCAAATATCTATCATTATCCACAGTGTATTTAATTTTTCTATAGCTCCATTATTTGTGACTATTTACTTAGCCTCAGCAAGATATGGATGACTGTCAGGGATGCGCATCCTAAACATTGATTAAAAAGGCTCTTATCTACCTACCACAGTTATCTTCATCAGCCTGATTCCCACAATCATCCACACCATTACAGTGAAGAAGCTGAGGCAAACATCGTGTGATGTTGCCACATGGGAAATATCCAAGGGGGCATGTGACCTCACGTCCAGAATCATGATCTTCCAAAGTGCCACGAACAACTAATAAAAACAAAAAAGAGAATACATTTCTTTAAAAAGAGGCTTTGAACATTTCAGAATAGTTAAGTAATGCTGATAGCTGAATTGTTAGGTTGCATTTGAATGTGAATATCCATGTTACTACATATACCTCTTTTTGCTTTGTGCTTAAACAGCACCCTGACAATGTAGGAGGAACCATTACTTTAGCTTAAACTCCATTATGATAATGAATGTGATCACTTAAAACAGTAAGTGGGTAGTAAACCTGTAAAGCAAAGGAAAGTATTTAGAAGTAGTTTCAGATAGAGAGGAAAAGCAGAATTTCTTTAGGTTTACCCTAATTATATTAATGAATTAGACCATTTAAAAAGGAAAAGGATCATTATTACGTGTGGAACAGAGGTAACAGAAAGAAGTTAACAGAGGGAGCAGTTCAGTTATAATAAGCCATAAAACCATTGCCTGTATTAAGTCCTAGGTTTTAGATGTCGAGTAAAGTTATGAATTTTGGACCAGGTCCATCTTCCCATTCTATTAACATAATGGGGCTAAATAAAAATAATTGTTCTAACTGGTATTTAACTTAGGCTGTACATGCTGTTTTTACAGATCTGAAGAATGTCATCTTGGCCAAGTACAGACACTCAAAAAGCCCAAAGCTGAGTTGATTCAATCTTCACAGGTTAGTCTAAGCTGTGTAGATTGAACTAATAAGGAAATGAACAGACATTCATTTTTGATTACGGAAATACAGCCATATGCCTGCAGTGGCTCAAGCCAGAAGCCAGGGGACACCACAGCATCCTTCCATGCTTGGCTGGAAGCAAAAGTTTGGGCCAGAGGTAGCCCACCTACCCTGCAAGGCAGGGGAAGGAGGAGGGCTGTTTTGGGGGAGATGCAAAGCATCCTGGGATGCTCGAGGACTGCAAGTTAACTTGAATCTGGAGGGGAGCTGGCACAGAAGTTCAATAAACTGATTTAACATAAATTGGTTAGGTCTGATACTACATCTGTCCAGGTTTATCTTAGACTAGTTTTGGCCATTCTGAAAGCAGTGTATATGCACCAAACTTTTGTTGTGTTAAAAATTTGAACTGGTTTCTGATCACTTATACCAACTTGTGCAACTTCTTTCCTTAGCCTTTGCACCCAAAATTTTGACTCTCTAGCTATGTAGTTGATTCAATAAAATACATTATTAACAATCTCATTTCTTGCATATTCCCTGGATAACAACACTACTGAAACTTAGGAGGAAACTTCTGCACATCACAAGGTAGTTAAAAATCACTGATATTAGGGGTGTACTAATAGAGGTTTTGGGGGCCGATACTGACAGCCAATATTTAAGGAGGCAAATTGGCCAATACCGATCTGATACAGCTGCCTCCAGGTGGTAAGTCTGTTGTGGTGGAAAGGGAAGGGGGAGGGAAGAGGTGTGGGGTACAGATCAATGCCCCCCACAATGAGGTAGGAAGGGAGGGGGCAGGCGCTGCATGGGGACAGGATGGAGGAACAGCTTGCAGGGGGAGGTGGCTCCTGCCACTGCTTGTACCCCATGAGGCCATAGGGACTGTGTGCCCCCCGGACCTGCTCAGGGCTGGCTGGAGCCGGCTCTGCACAGGGTGGGCTCAGAGTGGGCACTGGCAGTGCTAGGAGAGGCTGCAGCCACCCCAAATTTTGCCGCAGCTCTGCTCCCAGCACCGCCACTGCTGCCAGCTGCCTGGCACAGCCTTGGCTCTTCCCAGTGCATGGGTGAAGGCAGAACATGGAGCTAGGCTGTGCCTGGCAGTGTGGGGCTGGGAGCGGAGCTGCGGTGAAATCTGGGGTGGCTGCAGTCCCTCTCAACACTGCTGGTGCCTGCTTCAAGCCTAGCCCCCACCAAAAAGCGCTGTGCAGTGCTGGCTCCGGTCTCCAG